GAAGGAGGACAGGGCAGGATGGAGGGTCACAGGGAGGACAGGGGACTGCGCATGGAAAGAGGACAGGGCAGGATGGAGGGATACAGGGAGAGGTGGATGCTGGGGGGACAGGGAGCTAAGGATGGAAGGAGGACAGGGCAGGATGGAGGGTCACAGGGAGGACAGGGGACTGAGCATGGAAAGAGGACAGGGCAGGATGGAGGGATACAGGGAGAGGTGGATGCTGGGGGGACAGGGAGCTAAGGATGGAAGGAGGACAGGGCAGGATGGAGGAATGCAGGGAGGAAGGGATAAGGGATACAGGGCTGGCAGAGGACTGAGCATTGAAAGATCACTGGGCAGGAAGGAGGGATACAGGGGGAACAGGGAATTAAGGATAGAAGGAGGACAGGGCAGGATGGAGGGATACAGCAAACAGAGCATGGAGGGAAGCAAGGAGCAGGAGAAGGGAGCTGGGAAGGAGGGCAGAATGGCAGGAGAGTGAGGACAGAGGGAGGCCAGAAACTGGGCTGGAGGGAGCACAGGAAGATGGGATGCAGGGGTCTGAGGAGGGAGGGCAGAGAGCAGTGGGGCACTGGAACTATTGCTTCCAAAACTGACCAGTTTTCCTAAGGCCAAACTAAACACTCCCAGTTGGGATATTTGGAGTTGGGAAAGCTGTGCTTTCTCCCCCACATCCCAAATCCTTAACTTGCTTTAGGACTCTCCAGGGGTCCACCTTTCCCTATATGTTCTCTCCCTCTGCACTGCCTGAGAAGGACACACGGTGAGACACTTTTGCCCTCAGCTGCTAAAGTCTTCATATCCAATATTAACCTGCTCCTTGTGCCCTGAACAGCAACACAGGCTGGGAAAAAACATCATCCAGCACTGGGAGACTGGCAGGAGTGGGACAACTAGAGCCATCCCAGGGTGTGAGGCTGGGAAATGCTGCACCAGGCAGAGCTGAGGTGTCCCTGTGCTGCTCCAACCTCCCCTGCAACGCTTCAGTTTTGTTTCCCTGTTTATTTGTTTTTAATGGCGAGAAAAGCGAAGCTTTTAAACCATCAATTAATTGGACTCTTGCATTAAGAGCAATGAACTATTATTTGACAGGAATTCATCTTCCCCTCCTGCTGAGAAGAAATAAGCTGGCGGAAAAGAATCAGCTTCAGAGGAGAAAAATAAAACGCCTCTGCTTCAGAGACAAATTACTCATGAGATACACAGGTAACAGGCATGGGGTGTTTGAGCTCATCCCTTTTACACATCATTTCCCTCAGGACAACAGCTACAAGTCACTTGCTGTGTGACTGATCCCCAGGCCTTTGCCCCAGTGCCCCTGCCCAGCAGGCCATTCCAAGCATTTATTATTCCGGGAATAAAAGAGCATTTCCCTGTGTCTGGGCTGAATTTGCTTTTAATTTATGGTTGTGGCCCTCAAGGTCCAGATTCACACCTGCCTGGGCTGCAGCTCAGTGCTGAAGGTGAAGTTGGAGGGACAGCAACACACAGGCTGGGAGGGCTGGGATTGCTCCCAGACCCAGAGCAGGCTGTGGGAAAACTCCAGGAGTGGGAGATGGACAGATCCTACTCTGACCTCAGTGCCGAGCACACCTGGGCCAGGCACACCTTCTCCTTCCACCTTTGCAGGCACCATCCAGGTGGATCCTGCATCCTCCTCCCTCTCCTGCCCTGTGAAACCACCCCACTCTCTTTCAGACATATTTTGGGTAGTTCAGGTCCATCTCTGCCCGTCACACACTTATTGGAGCCTCAGCCTTGCTGTCGTGCACTTAGAAGGGAACTTAAGACCTGGGAAAGCTCATCCAAGGCCTCCACCCCAAAATCCCCATGGCAGAGCACAGGATCACAGAATTAAAGCACCCTGTCAGCCAGCAGCAGGGGAGGGTGGCCTGAAAGCAGGGAATCCAGAGGAGGCAGCTGCAGGAGAACTGTCTGCAAATAAACCCGGCTTGCTTTGGAAATCAAAGGTTTCCAAACTGCCTCCTGCCAGGAAGTGTTAGGTGGGGAGGGGAGGGAAGCCACCCAGTGGTTTCAAAATAGAGTTTGGTCACTTTATGAATGAGGTGATCTGACACAGTTCCCTGCCAAAGCAAGGGAATTTGGTGACCTAGAAAATCCTGTTCCTGGGGATGGAAGTGTTGTCGTTGTAAGACTGTAAATCCGAGTATTACGGAGGGTTTGGGATCCTGCTTAAACTCGGGGGCACAGAAAGGCAGGGAAGAGATGCTGATACTTCAGAAAGCCCTCAGAGACAGGCCCCCTCCTCCAGGGCAGAGCACTGGTCCCCACCAGCCAGCCCTGAGAGCTCCTCCCCTGGGAATTGCTGCCAAGGTGCTCCCTGAGGTCAGCAAGGCACAGGGGGGAGATCAGGTGGTCTTAAAAAATCCGGTTAATTGTCCAAAACAGAAGCTCAGAACTATGGTACTATTGCA